GTCTTGGGGTTTCCATCTATCTGTATCAGACTAGTAAATTTGTTCTCTTTTGATTTTGAGTTTTGTTCTGCACTTTTCTTCTCCCTCTCTGTCCAGGACCTTCTATAGTGATCTTGATCAGAGCGGTTGGTTGTAGTACCTGGGCACCATCTAGTTTTTCTGGTCTCAGGGTAGTGCGGGCTGTGGTTGGTGTGGTCTTTTAGTCCTTTGGACTAATTGCTTCCTTGAGTCTTTGACTGTCTTCACTCTTCTTTGCTCCAGATGGGGAGAAACCAATAGTTGCATCTTAGATGGCTGCTCGTAAGCTTTTAAGAGCTCAGTCACTACTTACCATAGTAGGAAGGAGAATCTGTCTGTGTGGACTATGTTATGCCAACTGACTTAGATGTCCCCTGAGACTGTAGTCCTAAACCTTCAAGCCCAGTGATTAATTCCTTTAAGGTGTTTGGTTATAATTATGCCCTCTGTATGCTGTACTCTATCCTGGATATATTTATAGAACATACAACTATGTATGTAGAAATGTCTTCTGCCAAACATATTGGTTGTACTCCCATTCACCTTCCCACATCTGTTCAGCTTACATATCTACCTATGTACCTACACATAGATATTATTTGTTATTACTCTCATTGCTAGATCTTGTATGTAGCAGTATTTACTTTTGTTGTCTTTTACTCTTGTTTACCTTATAGTGTCTTCCTTTGCCTTGGCCATGTTGCACTGCCCTCCCCCTTGTTGAATATTGCCTTTGCCTTTGCCCAAGTTAATACATGCCTGTGTCTACCCTCTAGTTAGTGATTTACCCTCCCTCCTCTTCCCACTCCTGGTAACCATCAAAGAATTCTTCTTTTTATGCGAAAACCTTTTCTTGATTTTTTACAACATTGGTCTCATACAATATTTGTCCTTTTGTAATTGACTAATTTCACTCAGCATAATGTCTTCTAGGTTCATCCATGTGATGAGATGTTCTGCAGATTAACTGTTGTTCTTTAATATTGCATAGTATTGCATTGTGTGTATGTACCATAGTTTGTTTATCCATTCATCTGTTGATGGGCACTTAGATTGTTTCCGTCTTTGCTATTGTGAATAGTGCTGTGATGAACATGGGTGTACATATTCATGTCACTGCTTTTATTTCTTTAGGATATATACCTAGTAGTGAGGTTGCTGGATCAAATGGTATTTCTAACTTTTTAACAGAGTGTCATGCCATTTTCCAAAGTGATTGTACCATTTTACAGTCCCACCAGTAGTGTATGAGAGTTCTAACCTCTCCACATCCTTGCCAGTATTTGTTGTTTTCTGTCTTGTTGAAAATTGTTATTATTGCTGGGGTGAGATTGTCTCATTGTTGTTTTGATTTGCATCTCTCTAATGGCTAATGATCATGAACATTTCTTCATGTGTTTGTTGGCTGCCTGAATATCCTCTTTGGTGAAGCTTCTGTTCGTGTCCTCTGCCCATTTTTTAATTGGGTTGTTTGTCCTTTTGTTGTTGAGATGTTGAAGTTTTCTGTAAATTTTACAGATTAGTCCCTTGTCAAATATGTCATTGTCAACATGTTTTTTCCCCATCTGTAGGTTCTCTTTTTACTCGTTTCTAGAAGTCTTTGGATGTGCATAAGTGTTTGTTTTTCAGGAGGTGTCTGTCATGTGTTTATCGTCTAGTACATTTTTAGTTATGTTTGATAGTCTACTTATGCCATAAATTAGGGCCCCTAAGTTTGCCCCTATTTTTGCTTCTAATCTTTGCAGTTTTAGGTTTTACATTTAGGTCTTTGATCATCTTGAGTTTGGTTTTGTGTATGATGTGAGGTATGCATCCTGTTTCATTTTTGTGCAGATGGATATCTAGTTTTGCCAGCACCATTTGTTAAATAAATTTTCTCTTCTCCTTTTAATGGGTTTTGGTCCTTTGTCAAAGATTAGCGGTCCATAGGTGAATGGCTTAACTTCCGGGTTCTCAATTCTATTCGATTGGTCTATGCATCTTTTACTGTACCAGTATCAGGCCATTTTGACTATCGTAACATCAACTTTTAAAATTATCCATTTTGGTTTTGGATCCCGGGTATTTTGACACTTTGGGGCACTGCACCCTCATCAGATGCTAGATGAGTGAGAAGCTGGTCTTTCTTCTGTAAAGAGGGAACACTGTGAGGGGGATAGGAAACAAGAACAGTCATGCTCGTAGACTGAGCCACTCCCTTTGACAGAGCGATTTTAGGAAAGAATGTGAGTAGAAGCTGAGGAGCTGGAAAATGATTCCTTTATAACTCTTCCTGACTGCACTCCATTTGGGCAGTTTCCATGTACTCTGGGATAGGTCTACCCCAGTTTGAAGATCATGGTTCTGAAGGATGCTAAAGATGACATCAGCAATCTTTCCATGCACATTGGTGCAGGTGGGATTGACACTGTAAGGACTTGTTTGAATGTTTGGTGAGTCCATCAGGGGAATCCTGAGAAGCAAAGTTTGTGACTAGATGGTGAAAGGCCTTGAATTCCACACAAAGATTGTTGTTATTGTTATTAGGTGCTTTTGAGTTGATTCCGACTCATAGTGACTCTCTGTGACCCATAAGGTTTTCTAGGCTGTAATCTTTACCAGAATAGATTACTATGCCTTCCTTCCATGAAGCTGTTGGGTGGGTTTAACTACCAACCTTTTGGTTAGCAGCTGAATGCTTAACCATTGCACCACCAGGGCCTCTTCCATGCAAAGGAGTCAGCCTTATTCAGGCAGAGGGGAGCCAGGGGATATTTTGGAGCCAGGAGCTAGTGTAAGCAGATGACCTTGAGGAGACTCATCTGGGAGCAGCTTGGGGGATGGCCAGGATGAGTGAATCCATGGTGGACGGTGGAAGTGACAGTGGGAAAGATTTGAAGATGAGATTGGAATTTGTTATTGAGGTTCTGCTGTGATTTTGAACTCTGTTATTAGCTGCTATCCAATTGGCTCCTGACTTCTGGCAACCCCATTCATCATGGAAGGAGATACTTCTTGTCCTGTGCTATCCTCATGATCAGTTGCTGTTCTGGTTATCTAGTACCGCTCTAACAGAAATACCACAGATGGGATGGCCTGAACAAACAGGAGTTTATTCTCTTACAGTTCGAGAGGCTACAAGTCCAAGTTCAAAGTGCCAGGCTCTAGGGGCTGGGTTAAAGCCCCTCAGCCTTGGGCTTCAGCTCTGCCTCCTGCTCCCGGTCCACTGAAGCTAGAGGGTTTTCTTCACTCAGACAGCTACTGGCTGTTGAGACTGACAAGCCCAAGGTTGACAAGTAAAAAGGCACAGTCCTGATGTTACCAAACCACATGGCAGCCCATTAATTCAAGTCCATTGAAAGTCCCAAGGTCGGCAGAGCATGGCAGGCTGCTGAACAATGACACGGCTACATGCAGGGTCCAAGCGTGCCATAAACAAGAGACCATTCTCAAAGTTGTTTCTTATATACACGAAGCAGACCACATCCCAAAGGTAGCTACTCAGCTGCTCACAGTAGATTCCACCATGGAGTTGATTACCGGTCTCATCATGATGAATATGACAGCCAGTTGCCCAGCCATTCAACCAGGCCCAGCCAAGTTGACACACAAACTTAACCACCACAGTTGCAGATTGGACTGCTATGATCTATAGGGTTTTCACTGGCTTTTGAGTGAAACACATATAGGAAATCAGCAGACTTTTCTTCCTAGTCCATCTTAGTCTGGAAGCTCTGCTGGAGCACATAGGCCTCTACTGAGAGATGGGTGGTGGCTGTGCATGTGGTGCATTGGTCAGACTCGAACCCAGGTCTCCCGCATGAAAGGTGAGAATTCTTTTGAACTTGTGCCCTGGTTGCACACATCTAGCTCGATCAATATATATTTCCTAAAATGTGGGGTACATTTCATTCATGGGACCTGAGATTATACATGAAACTCAAGATAATTTATAGTGTAACGCAGTCTTAGGCACTAAATCAGGCTGAAACACAAAATGGAAAGGCATCCCCTCCTCAGCTCTCCCCTAGTCCTGACTATATGAGGAGAAAGTCTTTCTTTTGCACCTCTCATGCTGCCATTTCCCTTCTGTTGAAAACAAGCAAACAGCTTTAGGCAAGCAATACCCTCTAGATAGAATTTTATATAAAACTTTTGTTTTCATTGAATTAATTTCCTATGAATCAAGATGACATGTGCTCCTAGTTTTCCTGTTACTGTAGTTACAGGAAAAGAGCTCTGGTGGTGCAGTGCTTAAAGCATTTGGTTGCCAACCAAAAAGGTCAGTGGTTGGAAACCACCAGCTGTTCCATGGGAAAAAGATGAGGCAGTCTGCTTCTGTAAAGATTTACAGCCTTGGACACTCTATGGAGTAGTAGTTCTACTCTCTCCTATAGGGTCACTATGAGTCAGAATTGATTCAATGGCAGTTGGGTGAGTAGTTATATGAAATTTTCATGTTGAGTAAGTTCATTTCAGTAGAAAAGAGAGTCAGTTTTTGAGAGCAAATGAAAGAAAGAATAATGCTGGTGGTTAACATGCCCAAGTGCTAACTGAAAGGTTGGAGGTTGGAGTCCACCCAGGGGCACCTTGGAAGAAAGTCTTGGCAATCTAGTTCCAAAAATCAGCCACTGAAAACCCTATGGGGCACAGGTCTACTCTGACACATGTGGGTTACCACGAGTTGGAATTGACTCAGTGGCAATTTGTTTTGTTTTATGTGAATATGGCAAAAAAATAAAAATAATGGAGTCAATGTTCCATGGTTCAAGTTTGGAAAACACTGGGTTAGACTGTGTGGCAGAAGCTGACTTGTGCCAAATTTTTGTGCCAAGGTCCTGTTTCTAACTGGTCTCAGAGAAGCTCTGAGTGATGTGTGTGTGTGGGAGGGCAGGGGGGTTGTGAGGGAGGGGGCAGTGTGAATTGCACTGCCAGCCTGGTGGAACCCACTGCTGTCACCTGCAGCAGCCTAACGCTCTCCCATTCCTTGCCTCTTCCTGCAGAGATCCGCACGCAGCTGGTGGAGCAGTTCAAATGCCTGGAGCAGCAATCCGAGTCACGGCTGCAGCTGCTCCAGGACCTTCAGGAGTTTTTCCGGCGGAAAGCTGAGATTGAGCTAGAGTACTCCCGCAGCCTGGAGAAGCTGGCTGAGCGTTTCTCCTCCAAAATCCGCAGCTCCCGGGAGCACCAGTTCAAGTGAGAAGGGCCTGGTCTGGGAAGAAGGGAGGTGGTGCTGGTTGGGCAGGCAGTTGGGTGCCAAATAGCAAGGAGGCAAGGACTCAATGGAGGCAGATGGCTGGGCTTTTAAGGTCCTGGGGCTGCAAGCTACTTATACCACTGAGCCTCAGTGTTCCTCATGTGTCAAGTGGAGACATAAATAGTTACTACTCACATGGTTGCTGTAGGGAATTAACGAGTAATCCAAGAAACATACTTATCACAGTAAGTGCTCAGTAAATTATTGTTGTTGTTATTATCCTCCTAAGCCCCAGGCACTAAGCTAGGCTCCCTTTGTGCCCAGATGAGACCTTACCTCCTTTCTGTACATCCTGACCTGATTCAGTTCTATTTCACCTGGGGGGTTCAACCAGCCCATTTCCAAGTCCGACAGCACAATGACCTTAGAGATTCTTCCACGTGGAATTAACGCTCAGATCACTTCTCTTCCTCATTCCCTGGGTACACCTTATTTACCCCATGAAAGCAATGCACAACCCTTCCCCCAGTCATAATTTCTCATATCCCAGGCTCTGAGTTCATGACAGCTGTCTTCTGCTGCCTCCTCCACTGTGCTCTGTCCACTTGGGCACTGACCCACAGGGCTCTGAATCCCCCAGCTGCACAACATTCCAGAGTCTGACCTTAGGGGTCTAGTTCACGTGCTGATTTGGGCAGAAGGTGGCAGACCTCATGTGGACCATAGTCCCCATGCAGGACTCCCATCTGCAGGTCATCCCACCTAGCACAGTCTTCTTCAGCCATCCTTCCTGGGCTTTCCTCTGCTCCTCAGTTCACCTTGATCCTGACTGACCCTCACCTCCAGGAGACCTATCTGACCCCAGCTCTATCCTCTTGGTTCCATCCATCTTGTTGTCTACATTTTTACTCTGGTCAGGGAACTCTCTTCTTTTATACTCCCCTAAACCAGTTGCCATCAAGTCGACTCCAATTCATGTGTAAGAGTAGAATTGGCTGATTTTTCAGAAGTAAATCACCAGGTCTTTCTTCCAAGGTGCCTCTGGGTGGGCTTAAACCTCCAACCTTTCATTTAGCAGCTGAGTGTGTTAACCATTTGTACCACCCAAAGTCTCCTCCTCTGTATCAGGAGCTCTGGTGGTATAGTGGTTAAGGCATTTGGCTGCTAACCAAAAGGTTGGTGGTTTGAACCCACCAGCTGTTCCATGGAAGAAAGATTGGGCAGTCAGCTTCTATAAAGGTTTACAACCTCAGAAACCCAATGTGGGTCACTATGAGTCAGAATCAACTTGATGGCCTTAGTCTGTGGCACAGCATTTGGACACTCAATGATATGTTTCCTTCTCTTGACATTTGAAGATAAGAAATTACTTCATTAAAGGGTGAAAACTGTGTTATATGTTTGCAGAAAACATGCTTCTTTTTCTATTTAATCTCATCTATTAAGACTTTCTCAGAAAACCAAGGAGGGGTTGCTATGAGTTGGATCTGACTCAACAGCGGTGAATTTGGTGTTTTGGATTCTTATTAAAACTTTCACAGCAGGAGGAAGCTCCTATTAATAAATTCCTCCCAGGCACTGTCTAGGCCCTGTCATTCATATAATCTTATTTTTCTGTATATTTTTCAGGAGATTTGTGGTCTTTAAATGATAAAAGTAAAATGCTCATTATGTGCAATTTAGAATACACAGAAAAGTAGGAGGAAAAAAAAAAAAACAACACTCATTAGCCACCACTGTTCACATTTGGTTTCTTTTTCTTTTCTCTCTCTCTCTCTCTCTCTCTCTCTCTCTCTTTCTCTCTCCATGTTATTCTTTAGAGCAGTTTTATATGTACAGAAAGGACAGAGAGCTCCCATGTAGGCCCTTTCCCCTTACACATCTTTTCCCTCTTCTTAATATCTTGCATTTATGTGGTATATTTGTTACAATTGGTGAAACAGCAATGATGTATTAACTAAAGTCCATAGTTCACATTAGAGCTCTCTCTTTGTATTGTACTATCTATAGGTTTTGCAAATGTACATTATAGTATCATGCAGGATAGTTTCACTGCCTTAAAATACCCTGTGCGCTGTCTATCCATCCCTCTTGAACCCTTGGAAACCCTGACCTTTTTACTGCCTCTGTGGTTTTGCCAATGAGTCCTGGTGGTAACCAAAATATCGGCAGTTAAAACCCATCAGCTGCTCTGTGGGAGAAAGTTGTGGCAGTCAGCTTCTGTAAAGATTTATTTATAGCCTTACTGCCCCATGGGACAGTTCTACTCTATCCTATAGGATTGCTGTGAGTCAGAATCTACTCAGTGGCAGTGGTTTGGTTATGTATGTACCACAGTTTGTTTATTCATTCACCTATCGAAGGACATCTTGGTTGCTTCCTTGATTGTCTTTTACTAATAACAACAACAGTAATAGTTTATTGAGTGCATTAACTGAGCGCTTACTCTTGTGTCAGGTGGGTATTACTGCTCATCTTGAAGATGAGGACGCTAAAGCTCTGAGAAGACAATAGGTACATGGACCTGCAATTGGAAAGAGATAGATCTGGACCTACATCCTTGTTCTGCCCACCCAGCCTGAGATGAGAGGGGAGTTGAGTCAGCCTGAGGGCAGCAGGATATTGAACACTCCCGAAACACAGAGGCACACACAGAAACCCACTTCCAGGGTTGAGCTGTCACTGGAACATTCATGTCTTGGGCCATCGCCAGCTGTAGACATGGGGCTATATATAGTGGGGGTGGAGCCTTGTCTCCTGCCTTTCCTCTTTCCAGTGTGAAGGTGGGGGAGAAAGGGGGAATGATGGGGACCAAGGGAGCATGGAGGAGGGGTCCTCTGATCCCTTGCATTGAATGTAATAAGCTCAGCCAGCCCCTCGTGGGTTCATTAACCAAGGCCACCAGACGGAACGGGAGCCGCAGCTGGCAGCCGGGCCAACAGGGCTGCATGACACACCATGAAGGTCTAATTAGGGCGTGGGCCCAGGCCTTGCAGCTGGAGAGGGTCCTCTGCACAATGCTAATGCGGGGGTGCAGCCGGATGGCTCTGGAAGCAGAGAGTCTCTAGGGCTGTCTAGACTCACCCTTTGACCTCTGGGCCGAGCAGTGTGACCCCAGCAGCCTCTTCTTGGAGTTTAGTGCCTACAACCTGCACTTTGCTGGGGGCCATTATCCTGGCTGCTTTACTGATACTTCATTTAAGAGTGTCCATCTGTGTCCCAAGGAGCCTGTTAGTACCTTGCAGGCAGGGCCAAGTCTTGCCATTTTATTCCCCCAGCATGGGCCCATTGCTGAGGGGTAGAGATGGGGTGTTTCTGATGAAAGGGAGGAAGGAGGAAAGGAGGAAGGGAGAAAGGAATGTAGGGTGGAGGGAGAGGGGAAGGAGATTTCCTTGCTCTATAAAGCTCACCTTGGCTGAGAGATTTGGTTCAGGGAGGGAGTTGAGTTGCCTGAGATCTCACAGCAAATGAGAGGTAGAAGCAGACATGACCTCAGGTCTCTTGACTCTAAATCCAGGGCTCCTTTTGCTCTATCTACCACCTCTCTCCAAGGGCAGTGGGCAGGCCCCAGCTGTGTACCTGTCCATTTGAGCAACTGACAAATTTATAGCTGCCCAGGAGGTGCTCTGTCTCCAGCCTGAGTTTCAAGTGGCACTTTATTCAAAGAAAGGCTCAGATGCTGACTAAGAGGGCTTACTTGGGGCAGTCGAAACATTTAGACAGCAATATCATCATGTGTTTCCATTCTCATGTCACATATTTCTATTCTAACAAACCTTTCAAAGCACTCTGCCATCTTTACTCTCTTATAATCCTTATGACAACCCAGAGAAGTGGCAGGGGAGCAGAGGGTTTTGTCTCACACAAATTGAGTACCAGAAAGGGCAGTGGCTTCTTTTACCCAGGATGCACCGTGAGCTGCTGAGCTCCAAAATCCAGGTCTCCAACTTCCGGCTTGGGCTTCTCTCTCCAAGAAGCCACATGATCACTCATTTATTTCAACTGCATGCATTGAGGACCTCTTATGTTCCTGTTCTGGGCTCAGAGCTGAGTGCACAAAGATGAGTGAGATGCAGGTCCTGCTCTCAGCTGCTGCATTTTCTCTTGAGAGACAAGAACAGGCTTGGGGACCCTGGTAGTCAGGGCCAGCACTCAATCCCTGTAGCTCAGGTCTTTGAAAACTATTCCCTCTCACCCTTGAGGCCTCAATGTTTAATTGTCATGTCCTCTGGAAGCATCCTTGATTCTGCTGATACCTTCCTCTGCGTGCCCACAATACTCTGTACTTAGGTATTTATTTATTCACCTAATATTTATTGAGGAGCTCTGGTACATAGTGGCTGAGACACTTGCCTGCTAACCAGACGGCTGGCGGTTCAAACCCACCAGCCACTCCTCGGAAGGAAGGTTGGGCAATCCTACTTCCGTAGTGATAACTGCCTCGGAAACCCAGGGAGGGGTCGCTATGAGTCGGGGCCGACTCGACGGCACATAACAACAACAACAACAACAATATTTATTGAGCCTTCACCATGGGCCAGAGGTCTCTGGGTGGTGCAAACAGTTTGCACTTAACTGCTAACCTAAAGATTGGAGGTTTGAACTCACCCAGCAGCTCTACAGAAGAAAGACCTGGTGATCTGCTTCTGTAAAGATTCCAAAGACCAAAGACCAAAGCCATCAAGTTGATTCTAACTTATAGCGACCCTGTAGGACAGAGCAACTGCCCCATAGGCAGTTTGTAAATCTTTACAAAATTAGAATGCCACATCTTCCTCCCTTGGAGCAGCTGTGATTTTGAACAGCTGATCTTTTTGTTAGCAGCCAAGCACTTAACCCCTTGTGCCACCAGTGCTCCCTCTGCAAAGATGAAAGCCAAGAAAACCCTATGGAGCAATTCTACTCTGTAATATATGGGGTTGCCATGAGTCAAAACTGACTTGGTGGCAATAAGAAAAAAACAAGACCATATTCCAGACTCTGGATTGACAGTAGCAAA